GGGGGAGCGCTTTTGCCATCCAGCAACAACAATGATGTGATGATGAGACTACATGCAATGCATCTGATTTTGACTCAACACACATATCGCTCTGTCTCAGAGCGAGAGAGAGAGAGAGGTCTTTTGAGATGAGCGTCCATCTGGTCTTGTGGTCGGAAGTCATTTAGGATCCTTGAAGTCTACTTAAGGTTCTGTAGTGGCCGTGATGCAATTCACTTGGTTCAAGGTCTTATCGAGAGCGACTCTCCGATAACGTTAACAGATACAATATTCAAAACGGTTCGACGTCAACTCATTCGATATGATAAGATCATATAATCGATTTCACAAAAATATTGTTATGGTCGGCCTTTGGGCTATTCGCGTAGCCACTCGACGCAAGTCATCTCGTGTTTACACTTATGGGGTACGTTTTCTACGCTTACTGTCTCCGTGACTTTCACAAGGCTGAACTGCCATTTCCCAGTGGCAACGCGCTGAGACTCTTGGTGCGCTGATCAACGGAGTCTTTCTCGTCACTCTCTGCATGTCGATTTTCCTGAGGCGATACAACGATTTGCCGAACCCCAAGAAGTCTCCAGCCCGATCCTGATTCTCGTGGTCTGCTGCTGTGGGCTCTCCTCCAATCTCCTCGGCATGGCACTCTTACACGAGCATGAGAAATCCGAGCCAGAAACATGCAATATTCCGGAGGACATGTCTAACTCGGGTCGTCGAATGACATTCGAGGGAACAAACATTCGGTCCGTACAACGCAAGGCACGTAGCTCGAGACGAGCTGCGAGCTTGTCCCAGATTTCGATACACCCCACGGCCTTCCGTGCCGATGTCATCGCGGCTGCCCAGTCACACGCAGTAGATAATACTGGCGAGCAAGAGACCGAGAACACGTCCCCTCTCGCGAGTCAATCGGGAAACAGCGCTAAGCCAACAGATTTACACGGTGACTATATTCATGCGCGAAATGATGAAGGCAAAGGGAAGGGCAAAGGTCACGACCTGAACATGGCGGGCGTCTTCTTGCACGTTCTTGGGGACGCTGTGGGCAATATAGGTGTCATCACTTCTGCGCGCTTCATCTGGTTGACACAATTCAGCTGGCGGTTCTATACCGACCCCCTTGTCTCCATCATCATTACGGCCATCATCATTACGGCCATCATCCTACATTCAGCTATCTCACTGTGCACGGCGGCGTCTCGAATCCTCTTGCAAGCCGTCCCCAAAGGGATCAACGTTAACGAGATCAAACAGGACATCACCACGCTCCCTGGCGTTGCGGACTACCATGCCTTGCACGGGTGGCAACTCAGCGACACGGATGTGATCGCTACAGTCCATATCGAAGTCGATCACAAGGTCGTCAAGGATAGCCATGAGCAATACATAGAGTTAGCTTCGGTCATGCGAGATTGTCTCGCTGCGTATGGTATACATAGTGCAACCATTCAGCCAGAATTCTTTGCGTCGACAGGTGAAGGGACGTCTACGGGAAGAGTCGCAATCTACGAAAGCACACCGTGAATCTCAAGTTCGAGTCAGGTGCCCACGTCTTTGGCAGAAGATAACCAACGATCTTGCTGCGAAAGAGGGAGATGTACTAGACATATTTTAGGGGTTTCTCTTTTGGGGATCTAGGTCGCGACCGGCTAGCTAGCAGTAGGGTATACTGGTACTACATGGCTTACTGGCGATCTTAAGTAGTTGCCTCTTTTGAATGAACAATGTTTGGATGAATCTCCTGGGCATCACCTTGACTTTGCGATTTTCTATAGCTTCCGCGTCTTCATTATCCTCTGTAGCCACCATGTCCTTGTGGTCCATAACCACCATGGCCTTCTTGTCCTCTGTAACCACCGTGGCCTTCTTGTCCTCTATAACCACCATGGCCTTCTTGTTCGTAACCATCATGACCTTCTTGTCCTCTGTAGCCACCGTGGCCTTCTTGTCCTCTGTAACCACCGCGCTCTTCCTGTCCATAACCACCATGTCCTTGATTTTGCCCATGTCCTTGGTTTCCATAATTCTGATGGCCAGCACCGTTTCCGCCATAACCTCCCATTTTGCCATGTTGGCTCGGACCTCCACTTTGACCTTATAGAATGAGATTGAAATCAGCCGACTCTCTAGATGAAGATAGGTTGCTTGAGGCCAAGGCCGTAACATACCTGAATGGCCAGCTTGCTGATACGCCCCACCGCCCATGCCACCGGATCCAGGACCGGAAAAGTTTGTATTTGTCTGAGTCTGATAATCCTGGGGGTGCTTCTGGCCCGTCACGGCATCATTAATTTTATGCAAGATGCCCGGAGATGAGGATTGTTGTCCGCCTTGTGGCTTCTTTTGGTTTGAAAGCTGATCGGTCAGCTTGCTCAACAGGTCTGACATGATGGAACGGCCTTGAAGAATACACTGAAAGGTAATGGTAACAGGTCTGCCTAGAACTTGGTTAGAAATAGTTCAAGAGGGAGGAGTTGAAGATCGAAGCGAAGTGGTTATCTTTAGAGCTGAAAAGAGGTGTCAGTGAGGAGGCGCAGCGGGTCGTATCAGACCGCACACGTCACCGCCCAACCTTACCACATGAGTGCTACCCCCACTCGGCTTGACCTTTAGCTTGATGGAATTCATTCTGCGTCTAGTAATGGTACTGCACTGTCCGAGTGGCCTCAGAGCCGTCCGCATGTTCCGTTCGTCTTTGGCATACAGGAGAACTCATATTGAATGATCTGATCGAATCGGGCTCCTCCCCGTGCAAGGTTCAGCATCATTGAGTGACGCGCTCTACGCGTCTCAAACCACCAACCCACTCTTCTCATCAACCAACCCCTGAACCAGTTCGCTCTGAGTTAAGCTCAAATGGCATCCAATCAAGAAAGTGCGAAGAAAAGGGTCGAGATATCTCCAACTGCAACTACTACTTAATCTGTCTTGCCTCCCCCGGGTGTGACTATTTTCTGCCTTCTACGTATATGTTGGGTAACCGACCAGCCTCGCCATCCAGTCTAAAAGACCCAATCATCCTGATCGAAAAGTTCATCCGATCACACTTTGCCTAGACCAACCAACACCAACAATGCCACGTTCATCACCACCAGGACAAGCCAGATGGCTACCGCCAGCGCCGTTGTAAACCAACCATTACGCATGTCGACGGCTTCTCCTTCACCTCGCCTCCCCTGAAAATCAACCCGAACTGTCATGATGCTGCTGCGGCATGTGAAATACACAAGTGGTGCCGTCACGAAAGGAGGGATGACGCTCGAGACGACCTGAGTTGCCGTAAGTGTCCTGTTCAAGCCGTTTTTGCCGACTGCCCCAGCTATGATGATGCTGGGGACAATGCTGATTCTCACAAGGCTGCTCCGCGGCCAGCAAATCAACATCGTGCTCGATGGCGCGAGCGATGTCGCCTGCTACTGTCTGAACATATTCGTAAGCCTTTATATCCTGCTAAGGCCGCAGAATCAGACACGAACTGAGAAATACAGAAACACACTTAGGCATTGAAGTAGCACCAATAGAGGTCCGGTTGATTCCCGAGCCAGATTCATTATACAGGTGGGATTATCTGCCAGAGCGACAGCATTTGTTCCAGAAGCAGATCAGCAAACACAATATTGCAGCATGCAAAGAGATTGCTGCCGGGATTGGAGAATCCATTTATGCCGTCTCACGGGGCGTGCCACGGTCGACGACTGTAGAGACTCAAGTTACTGGAAATGCTCTCTATCAAAATCTACAAGAAGCCTCAAAATCGCGCAGTTTTTCATCTATCATCATGGAGCTCACCGAGCATACGAGAATCCAGTCTTCTCAATTAACAGAAGCTAGAAAGTTAATCGAGGAAAGGGACGATACTATCGCATGTCTACGGACGCAGAACGAAGAGGGAGAGAGGCGCATAGTAGAGTTTGAACAACAAATCGCCACAGCCTTAGCAAGATTCAGAGACTTCCAACATTGTGTCAATACCTTTCAGGATGACATAATGAGCGTCCTAACATGATTATCCAGATGAGCATATAACGCCGTGGTCTTGTGAAAGGTTCGGCGCCTTTGAGATAACCACTGAGGACCGCACATGAGCTCCTACTGACCTTTGTTCACCTAACGCTATAACACTTGTGAGACTTTCTCTTGCCATACAGTACCATTAAGTCCTGTACTTTTGACGACACGGGATATTCGACACGGGATATGACTGTGGCAATACGAGGCATATACTCGGTGGCAAGGGTCACAGCCGGCTTTTCTTGCATTATCGTTGGCAGCATTTCGCCTGTGAGAAAGTCAGTAGCACCTGAATGTGTAAATATGCGGTGATAGTTCGTGGGACCGGTGACGATGAGAAATGACAATAGTATATGAGGTAATCCTATCAATAACCTATACTAGAGAATTCGAGCATTAAGATGGTGGGCCGTTTTCAAGAGCACTAATTCGTTCATTGTTCGGGCCAAAGGACGGAAAACAATTCAGTACAGGTAGATACTAATTAGCACACCTTGTCCGTGGCGAACATTTGAGTATATTCGTTCAGTAGCTTAGTAAGGTGAGATGAAGTGTCTACAAAGTTGTGGTCTAGTTAGGTAGGGCAAAAGCCAGACCATAAACCCAAGCCTCTTGTTTCGTGGCATCACCGTCTATACACCGCGAACGAATCTGACCAGTGCAAGGTCGATTAGAGAAAAACCCAAGGGTAGGACACGATTACTTGTTGTATCTGATTGCCATTGTATTTGACTAATCTCCAAGAACGCCCTTCTCGTCAAGCACCAAAGAGCGTCTGGACTTATCAGGCACTTGATACTCATGTTCATGATACTGTACATCCGGATCCACCTGCTCAGCGATTGCGCGCCTTAGACTAGCTCTGGACCTCGCGTCAACACATACTATAACCCAGTCAGATGATATTCGCCAGTGCGAACGACCTTACCTGATACGAGCAGCTTTCCTCGGCCATCTCGACTCCTTTCTTGGTCCAGAACCTGCTCAAAATGGGCCGGCAGAGCAATCAGTTTAATTAGATCATGTTGTCCGGCGGCGATCACATCGCCCGGGAGTAGGTTTATTGGGCGATCACTACCACTCGTAGGTCGGTATTGACTATTCCCGGGGCTGTGGATCCGTATTTCCAACATCTTTACAAGTAAGGTTAGTCCTCACTGACTCTTGGAGAAACACGTACAAAGGATGTGTCGTTCGGCAACAGTTTGTCAAACCATTTCTTGACCCACTTGTCATGATCTGAGTTGCGTGTCAGTACCTTCGAAATGATGTCTTCGGCTTAGAAATTTACTGCTGTCTTGAACTTGCCATATAACGACTACACGTCTGGTTCGAATAGAGGCCTCCAAACGGCCCTGCATGAGGCTTTTCAAATAGGGGAGATGTGCTGTGATACCGATATCGGTGGCCAGCATCAATACAGATCCGTAATCCCCAAAGTTTTCAGACCGCCCAAAGGGACGACTAATCCATGTCACGTACTCATCGTCACGGTATGACAATAACCGTCGAGTGAACCCTCTCCTTTTACGGACCAACATGTCTAACTGCATCATCCCACGTTTGGGGTCATTCTCCCACCACACAATCCAAAACGGATGTCGTTGAAATGAGGACAGTATTCCGAGCCTTGGGATGGTAACGAATAGATACTGGCCCGGTTGCACGTCCCATAGACGGCGAAGCTGTATTTCGAGGTGACACGCACCCGTCATGACCACCTGGTCGCCGTTTTGCGACCGATAGAATGTCACAATTCTTACTCTGGGTAGCCAGCTTCCTCGACCTAGGTTGATAATGTAACAACCGTCGAGAAGGAGACCAACAAGGAGCCAACTGGCCCAGAAAACAACACCCCCTAGAACGTAAAACCGAGCTTCGAATTGGCGACTGGAGAGATGACGCCATAGAGCGGACACTGCCACCCCCGTTATCAAAATATGCAAGGCTAAAAAACACTCGTAGAAACGACGACGCGTGCCTGGGACCGTTAGTAGAGCCGTGAAGGTGAGTGCTACCGAAGCATAAAATGGAGTTAGTTTCCAGTGTATTCCGTTCCAACAACACAGACTTACAACGGTTCCAGATTTTACTAGCGAATTCCATGGCAATCCCGCAGTCAATGCTCTGGCTATAATGTGGATCGTCGCTTCTACCAGCGTCATACAGCCAATCCATCGATGCATGATTTTCGGCATCCGAAGAGTGATGCCGAGAAAGTCTGCTACATCGCTGAGTTGAATGCCCACCAGAAGTGGGACCAAGTTAATGGTGGCGAGTATTCCGCTTCGCATGGCAACCTCGGCGAGATCGTTCACCCTCATACTCATACATATCGCATTTGCCGTAACATACAACACGACGAAAATGATGTCGAATTCGCTTATTGCCGTCGTCGGAAAAGTACGCCTCAAACTTGCTGCAAGCCATTCGACACAGAAAAAGGCCAGAGGTGAGAGGAGAGCTCGAAGAGCCCAGCGTAGGACTCGAAAAGTCTGCCATGCCAAGGCTATGAAGATTATGCCTAAACCATACCATTGCGAAATAGTAGCGTGAAGTTCCATAAATCGATTGTAGATTGTAGGATCGCTGTAAGGTATAACCGGAAAGATGACCTATAATATATTAGCCGCCGTATTTAAGCAACGTAGAATTAAATGACAACGCCCTCGATATATAGTGGGTAACACTCTAAGTCAGTGTGAAAGCATAAGGATATAGTAGCGTCAGTAGCTATATGCTATAATACGTGGAAGTTATTGGCCCAATGAGCCAAGACTTTAGTAACCCAGGAGGATATAGACCTACCACCAGGAGGTACCTACTTCGCTCCTAGGAGCAGTTTTTCTCCTAGATCCGAAAACCAGTTCCTAGGGCCCTTCTAGATTGTCCCAGGACCAACCAGGGGTATTCCCAGGCGTAAATCTCCTCCCAGATACTACCCAGGTCCCTCCCGGATAGCTAGTGACGCTAGCGGGAACAGCGGTCGCACAACCACGTTCTTCTGAAATATCGGTAAAGAACGCCCATTATAACTCCGTCACTCCGTTAAGTAAAGTATTTCTATGCCTGTGCAGTTATTTCCGTGGAACCTCGCAAATCCGAACACTAAAACACCGGTTTAAGCCATTGTTGCGGAAGAGCTAGTGATTTTATGTAATGTCAACTATTTCCGTTTATCGCTCTCAGTGATACACTATCCCCGCGAATACACAATTGCGACAATTGACAGAAAGAAATTGAACATGAATATATAGATGTTCGTAGGACCACAAGGTGTCTTCGACTCATTTCTACTCATTTATATCCATCTCAGCACCGGGACCGGAGACCACCAGTCCCATTTTGCTTCTAAATAAGTTGAGGTCAACATTGCG